TGGTGGTGAGGGGTGGTGGTGGGGAGGGTGGTGGTGGTGGTGGGTGGTGGTGGTGAGGGAGGCACTATAGTGGTGGTGGTGGTGGTGAGGGAGAGGTGAGTGGTGGTGGTGGTGGTGAGGAGGCAGTGGTGGTGGGTGAGGGAGGGAGTGGTGGTGGTGGTGGGTGAGGTGAGGGAGGTGGTGGTGGTGGTGAGGGAGGCAGGGTGGTGGTGGGGAGGCGTGGTGGTGAGGGAGGGAGAGTGGTGGTGGTGAGGGAGGGTGTTGGTGGTGGTGAGGGTGGTGGGGAGGGTGAGTGGTGGTGGTGGTGAGGGAGGCAGTGGTGGTGGTGGGGAGGCAGTGGTGGTGGTGAGGGAGGCACTGGTGGTGGTGAGGGAGGTGGTGGTGGTGGTGGGGAGGCGTTGTGGTGGTGGTGAGGGAGGACAGAGGTGGTGGTGGTGGTGGTGTGGTGGTGGTGAGGGAGGCAGTGGTGGTGGTGAGGGAGAGTGGTGGTGGTGGTGAGGGAGGACAGGCAGTGGTGGTGGTGAGGGAGGGAGTAGTGGTGGTGAGGGAGGTGGTGGTGGTGAGGGAGGGTGGTACTATAGTGGTGGTGGTGGTGAGGGAGGCAGTGGTGGTGGTGGTGGTGGTGAGGGAGGTGAGGGAGGTGGTGGTGGTGGTGAGGGAGGCAGTGGTGGTGGTGGTGGTGAGGGAGGCAGTGGTGGTGGTGGTGGTGGTGAGGGAGTGGTGGTGGTGAGGGGTGGTGGTGGTGGTGGGAGGACAGTGGTGGTGGTGGGGGGGCAGTGGTGGTGGTGAGGGAGGACACTATGGTGGTGGTGGTGAGGGAGGCAGTGGTGGTGGTGAGGGAGGTGGTGGTGGTGAGGGAGGCAGTGGTGGTGGTGAGGGAGGCAGAGGTGGTGGTGGTGGGTGGTGAGGGAGGACAGTGGTGGTGGTGAGGGAGGTGGTGGTGGTGGTGAGGGAGGTGGTGGTGGTGGTGAGGGAGGAGGTTGGTGGTGGTGGTGAGGAGGGAGGAGGTGTGGTGGTGGTGGTGAGGGAGGGAGGCGTGGTGGTGGTGAGGGAGGACGGTGGGTGGTGGTGAGGGAGGCATGGTGGTGGTGAGGGAGGTGGTGGTGGTGGTGAGGGAGGACACTGGTGGTGGTGGTGGTGGTGAGGGAGGACAGTGGTGGTGGTGGTGGTGGTGGTGAGGGAGGACAGTGGTGGTGGTGAGGGGTGGTGGTGGTGAGGGAGGCAGTGGTGGTGGTGGTGGTGGTGGTGGTGGAGGACAGGGAGGTGGTGGTGGTGGTGGTGGTGAGGGAGGTGGTGTGGTGGTGGTGGTGAGGGAGGCAGTGGTGGTGGTGGTGGTGAGGGAGGGTCAGTGGTGGTGGTGAGTGGTGGTGGTGGTGGTGGGAGGTGGTGGTGGTGGGGAGGGTGGGTGGTGGTGGTGGTGAGGGAGGCAGTGGTGGTGGTGGTGGTGGTGGTGGTGAGGGAGGCAGTGGTGGTGGTGAGGGAGGCACTATAGTGGTGGTGGTGGTGAGGGAGGACAGTGGTGGTGGTGGTGGTGGTGAGTGGTGGTGGTGAGGGTGGTGGTGGTGGTGGTGAGGGAGGCAGTGGTGGTGGTGGTGGTGGTGAGGGTGGTGGTGAGGGTGGTGGTGGTGGTGGTGAGGGAGAGTGGTGGTGGTGGTGGGCAGTGGTGGTGGTGAGGGAGGTCGGTGGTGGTGGTGGTGGGAGAGGTTGGTGGGGAGGCAGTAGTGGTGGTGGTGGTGAGGGAGGCAGTGGTGGTGGTGGTGGTGAGGAGGGTGGTGGTGAGGGTGGTGGTGGTGGTGAGGGAGGGAGGCAGTGGTGGTGGTGAGGGTGAGGGAGGTGGTGGTGGTGGTGGTGGTGGTGGTGGTGGTGGTGAGGGGAGGTGGTGGTGAGGTGGTAGTGGTGGTGAGGGAGGGAGGCACTATAGTTGGTGGTGGTGAGGGAGGACAGTGGTGGTGGTGAGGGAGGGTGGTGGGGAGGAGTGGTGGTGGTGGTGGTGGTGAGGGAGGGTGAGGGAGGTGGTGGTGGTGAGGGAGAGGTGGTGGTGGTGGTGGTGAGGGAGTGGTTGGTGGTGGTGGTGGGCGTGGTGGTGGTGAGGTGGTGGTGGTGGTGGTGAGGGAGGCGTTGGTGGTGGTGGTGGTGGTGGTGGTGAGGGAGGACACTGGTGGTGGTGAGGGAGAGGTGGTGGTGGTGAGGGAGGACAGGGGGAGTGAGGTGGTGGTGGTGGTGGTGAGGGAGAGTGGTGGTGGTGGTGGAGGCAGTGGTGGTGGTGAGGTAGGTGGTGGTGAGGGAGGTGGTGGTGAGGTAGGTGGTGGTGAGGTAGGTGGTGGTGAGGGAGGTGGTGGTGGGAGTGGTGAGGGGGGTGGTGGTGGTGAGGGGGTGGTGGTGGTGGTGAGGGAGGCAGGGAGGTGGTGGTAGGGAGGCAGTGGTGGTGGTGAGGAGAGGCAGTGGTGGTGTGGTGAGGGAGGAGGTCGGTGGTGGTGGTGGTGAGGGAGGCAGTGGTGGTGGTGGTGGTGAGGCAGTGGTGGTGGTGAGGGAGGTGGTGGTGGTGGTGAGGGAGGCAGTGGTGGTGGTGGTGGTGGTGAGGGAGGCACTAGGGAGTGGTGGTGGTGGTGGTGGTGAGGGAGGAGGTGGTGGTGGTGGTGGTGGTGGGTGGTGGTGAGGGAGGCAGTGGTGGTGGTGAGGGAGGCAGGGTGGTGAGGGAGGTGGTGGTGGTGGTGAGGGAGGCAGTGGTGGTGGTGAGGGAGGCAGGTCGGTGGTGGTGGTGGTGAGAGGGGTGGCATTGGTGGTGGTGAGGGAGGCGGTGGTGGAGGTGAGGGGTGGTGGTGGTGGTGAGAGAGGCATGGTGGTGGTGGTGAGGGAGGAGGTTGGTGGTGGTGGTGGTGGCATGGTGGTGGTGAGGGAGGCGTGGTGGTGGTGGTGAGGGAGGCAGTGGTGGTGGTGGTGGAGGCAGGGTGGTGGCGAGGGGGTGGTGGTGGTGGTGAGGGAGCAGTGGTGGTGGTGGTGGGAGGCAGTGGTGGTGGTGAGGGAGGCAGTGGTGGTGGTGAGGGAGGCGTGGTGGTGAGGGAGGGAGGCGTGGTGGTGGTGGTGAGGGAGGCGTTGGTGGTGGTGAGGGAGGCGGGGTGGTGGTGGTGGTGGTGGTGAGGGAGGCAGTGGTGGTGGTGGTGGTGGTGGTGAGGGAGGCGTTGGTGGTGGTGAGGGAGGGAGGACGTTGGGTGGTGGTGAGGGAGGCGTTGGTGGTGGTGGGGAGGCGTGGTGAGGGAGGGAGGCGTTGGTGGTGGTGGTGGTGAGGGAGAGGTTGGGTGGTGGTGAGGGAGGCAGTGGTGGTGGTGGGGGTGGTGGTGAGGGAGAGGTGGTGGTGGTGGTGGTGAGGGAGAGTGGTGGGGAGGCAGTGGTGGTGGTGAGGGAGGCAGTGGTGGTGGTGGTGGTGGTGGTGGAGGTGAGGGAGGCAGTGGTGGTGGTGAGGGAGGCAGTTGGTGGTGGTGGTGAGGGTGAGGGAGGTGGTGGTGGTGGTGAGGGAGGCAGTGGTGGTGGTGAGGGAGGTGGTGGTGGTGGTGGTGGTGGTGAGGGAGGCGTTGGTGGTGGTGAGGGTGGTGGTGGTGGTGAGGGAGGCAGTGGTGGTGGTGAGGGAGGCAGTGGTGGTGGTGAGGGAGGCGGTGGTGGTGGTGAGGGAGGGAGTGGTGGTGGTGAGGGAGGGAGTGGTGGTGGTGAGGGAGGTGGTGGTGGTGAGGGAGGCGTGGTGGTGGTGGTGAGGGAGGGAGAGGTGGTGGGGAGGTGGTGGTGAGGTGAGGGAGGTGGTGGTGGTGGTGTGGTGGTGAGGAGGGAGGGTCGGTGGTGGTGGTGGTGAGGGAGGTGGTGAGGGTGGTGGTGGTGGTGGTGAGGGAGGCACTGGTGGTGGTGGTGGTGGTGGTGAGGGAGGACAGTGGTGGTGGTGGTGGTGGTGAGGGAGGGAGGTCGTTGGTGGTGGTGAGGGAGGGAGTGGTGGTGGTGGTGGTGGTGGTGGGGGAGGCAGTGGTGGTGGTGAGGGAGGGGGGTCGGTGGTGGTGGTGAGGGAGGGAGTGGTGGTGGTGGTGGTGAGGGAGGCAGTGGTGGTGGTGAGGGAGG